TCTCAAATCACAGAAAAAGTTATGTTTTTAAAAACCTATGAGCTAGTATATTTTGGGAGTAGTACTGAGCACCGATATGGGGGAGAGTTCAGATAACTTACATCCCCCATAAACCATGTAGCCAACGTGGATAGAAAGAGTCATACTTTTTAGGTGATTCCTTAGTGCTTTTTAGCATAGACTAGTGGATCCACTTAGTAGTAGTTTTTATACCCCAACAAAGTATAAGATGACCCTGGCAGCGTAAGGCAAGACGCTGTATCATCACATAGCTCATAGTGATGGTTGTCGATTAGAGAATCTCCCACAGAGTTATATTGTATTGTATATACAAACTGAGTTAATATTGTATTCTTCAATACATTATGTTGTTATCTACTATTTAAAAGCTTTTCATGTATTGCATCTTTTATTGTTGCTTTATCCAGAGTTGAGTAACTAGAGTTTAGTATCTTATTATTGAGTTGAGCCTTATTTCAAAGAGTCGAGTATCTTATTATTTAGTTGAGCCTTATTTCACTGTGTTGAATATCTTATCATTGAGTTGAGCCGTATTTTCTCTGAGTTGAGTTGAACTATGTTTCTTTGAGTTGAGTGGAGTTGAGTTGAGAAGTGGTAAGTATGTTTCTTTTTCATCACTTCAAGCTTATGTTTATGTTTTACAATACCTCTTGCATGCTTGTACATTCCATGTACTGAGTCATTTGGCGTGCATCGTTTCATGAAGCATATACATGTATTTAGGATCATCAACAGGTGTTTCGTTCAGGTCATGGGATGTTCCAGTCAGCTTGGTGAGCCTTCTTATATTCCATAGGACTTCACCTTTATCTTATAGTTAGTAGTTTTGAGATGTCACGGGTCTTGTCCCAATATTCTTCTGTAATAGTAGAGGCTTCATAGATAGACAGTGTTGAGGAGTTTCTGTATTTACTTTTATTTTGAGTAATGTACAAACCTTTAAAACGGTTTAGTATATGAGTTTATTGAATTTAAGTTTTAAGCTTTTGTATGCTTAAGTTAGTCTTCCGCTTGTAGTAAGCCGGGATGAGTGTTTGCTTGGGGACCAACAATGATTCTCGAGTGTCATCCACGTCCAGAGTGTAGGCTCGGGTCGTGACATTTCTTATATAGTATGAAATTTTATAGATCATGATATCTTATGTTGTGTATTTACGTAATTTTTCTATATATTTTTCATTAAAAAAGAGAGTTTTGATTCAAACTTTTATAACGTGAGAATTAAGCCTAATGATGTATGAATGTGTGTGATAACCATATTAGGCTCATAACAGTGCCAGGCGTGAATTGTTCTTCATTCTTCATTATCGTGTAAAAGTTTAGTTTAGTCAATCTTTAACCCCAATTATAGGCTTTGGGGTAGAGGTGATGAGATTCTTTCTCCGTTCTCCTATTTTAATAAGGGAAAATTGTATAAAATAACAAACTATTTATTCAAATTAAATGTTATAACCACAGTTTGATTTAATTGTAACCCGTAGCAAACAGTTGTCATTCGCCTCTCTCTCCAGCTTTCTCGCTCGCCAGCCTCTCCCTCGTCTCTCTCACTTTATACAAACACAAATGTATAAAATGCGTTTATGTTTGTATAAAGTGAAATAAAACTGTATATACAAATACAAATACATATATTTTCGTTTTATACACTTATAATTATACAAATACAGATCTTCCCCTACCCCAATTCTCTTTTGTCTTTCTCTCTTTCTCGCTTTATACAAACACATATTATACAAATTACAATGTATAATTTGTATTGTATAAAGCGAGTGAGAGAGAGATTTGATATACAAACGTTTTATTTCGATTCAATTGTATACAAATTCAAATTTTATGGAGATATACAAACACAATCATTGATACATATACATAGTAGTTACATATATATAATTATCTAACTGATATGCATATACAATTGTTGCGCTTTTATACAAATGAGGGGCCTGCCAGCGAGTTATACAATCTGATGCTCCATAACAAAATAAAGTTTGATATGGAGCGCAATTATGCAAACTATAGCAATAACATACAAATATGATTTTTTATGTTTGCTAAACCTAGCTAAAATCTACTCTTTTAATAATTGCCCTCCCTAAACCTAATGTGGTGGAGCTAATAATGTGGTTTCTGTTTTAAATTTTTTAAATTATATGTTGTGTTTCTCTCTTACACGTCTCTTAAGAAAATATCAATTAGATTTGGACTATTTTATCCTTAAATAATATGAAATTTTATAGATTATGATATCTTAAATTATGTATTTATGTAAATTTTTTATATATTTTTCATTAAAAAAGAGAATTTTGGTTCAAACTTTTATAAGGTGAGAAGTAAGCCTAATGATGTATGAATATGTGTGATAACCATATTAGGCCCATAACAGTGCCTGGCGTAAATTTTTCTTCATTCTTCATTAAATTCTAGTAAATATTGTGAATTAATATAATTGAATTAATTATTTAAATCAATAAATATGAATTTAATTAAACTTCAATGGACAAATTACAGAAATACACACATTTTGTTTCACTTATTTCCATTATCCCCTATTACTTTTAAAAATCTCCAAAATTCCTTATTTCTTTAATGTACCCGAGCTACATATTAATGTATCCGAGCCAATATTCAATGTATCTATCTGAGCTACTTTTTAATGTATCCGAGCTACATATTAATGTATCCGAACCAATATTTAATGTATCTGAGCTACATATTATGTATCCGAGCTAGTTTTTAATGTATCTGAGCTACATATTAATGTATCCGAGATAGTATTTAATGTATCCGAGCTACATATTAATGTATCCAGTTTTTTTAATTTTTAAAGGATTAATGTAATTATAAACTTATTAGGGATAAAATGTAATTTCATATTAAAACTATGAGATTTATGTAATTTACCCAAATTCAATTTCATTGGACTAGTCCATTTATTTGGGCTATGACAAATGAGCCCAATTTGCTAAGCCCCATGTGATCTCATCCTAGAGAACCAGTTTGGTGTCACATGTCAAATGGCGTGGCATGCCAAGTCAAACAAAGAAACCAATAGAGTCATGTTATGTGTCAAAATGACAAGCCACTTCGTAAAACCCAATATGTCATGCCACTTAAATTTGATTGGCTGAAGAGAAGTCTATTCTTATCACAACTCCTCTATTCAACAACTATACGTAGGGTCTCATAATTCAGATAAAAGAGACCAGGATTCTAACAAGAATACAAAGAGAGCATGTGGATCAAAAGCCGCAGATTTCTCTACAAGTTCAATAATTCAAGCATTCAAGTTCATGAACAATCAAGATTAAGACTACCAGCTCCAAAACAAGCTTGAATCCCTTGAATTTAAGTAAAAGTCAAGATAAAGTTCAAGTTCATCGAAGATTCAAAAACAAGCTCCAAAGCCCTTGAATCCAAGATCAAGTTCAAGAGCCTTTGAATTTATATCTGAAAAGACGAATCAGAGGAATCATAGAGATTGTGATATTCATATTCTGAAGTCAATAAAAATGATTATTGCATTATTTTCTAATCTTGATTATTGTTTTGCGGACTCGAATTTAATTGTCTAGAGTGTCATCTCCCTATAACTGACGTGTTTGTAGTTTTCAAGAATAATAACTATTAAGAGAAAGCATTTTGTGACAGAGATAGTTATATATATATATATATATATATATATATATATATAAACTAAGACTTCAAACATAATTCATGCTAATAAACAATGACTAAGATCTATATGCCATGTTAAGCCATCTATTGTGATTTTACAAATACAACGACAAATGATATTCCGCCTGACTTGGCTGATAAAAGCTAACTATCTCTCCTGTCAGTACATTTTCTGGAACTCTTCTGAGTATCCAAGCCTTAGAGAAGTTATCAGTACGGCTATGATCTTCCCCTGCTTCGTGGACTATAGCCTCACTGCCGGTTGATTTCTTGCAGCAGATTTTCCTTCATAGTACAATCGATGATTTGATCCACTACATACTTAAAAGGACTGTCACCTCTCTCCAAGACTGATCTAATTTGTATGCCTAATTTTTCAAATAAGTTTGATACTACCTCTTTACAAGCCCCAATATAGAATTAGGGGGATTCAAAACAAATATCTACTAAGAAAATAGAAGATGGTTACTTTTTCCGGAAAATGATTACTGATTTTTTGCTAAAATGATGGGATCTAGAATAGAGAAGGCACAAAATAAGTATTTGTCTTCATGACTAGCCAGGGGATGAAAAAAAAAGGCAGGGGATTTTCTTGAGAAAACTTTGATTGTGGTCACAGAAAAATAATTTATCTTGATCAATCATAGTCATTTGAGTCGATGAATTGCCGATTATATCGTGCTTCACCATATAACCGTAGGCAGATCAAAGGTACTAAACTGATTGAACAAAGGGAAATCAACCAGGAAACATCTTGAAAATTAAGGTTCACAGAAATAGACTAGGCATGTTAACTCCAGGATCAACGAGTAGGACTCGATTAGTAAGAAGAGCATATAGGAAAGCAGAAGCTTAAGTTAGCATTCTATTTCCTAAACCACTAAAGGAAATCCAGACCAAGTAATTACAATCTGCTGATCCATTGTATTCACCTGACTTGATAAGCTCAACGCTCCTGTTGTATAATTCTGTATGAGGACCACATTGCTTATGAAGTGCCTCGTAGTCTCCTAATCTTGACATGAGATGAGGAAGACGATGGCTTGTAAAGAAGTTTATGATATAAGGCGGATTTGTGTCTACTCAGACAAGATTTTTCATCAATTCCAGAAGGAGCACTTTAACTGTGGCTGAAAATAGCTATATATAGGATGATTATTGAAATCTTTAAAACCTTAGACAAAATAGCTATAGGATGCAAATATTATTACGAATCTCCAGAGTAAAATAACTCAGGTCTTATTACAAACGAATATGAATTTAATGATTACATTTTACTAAGTATAGATATATATATATATATATTATTCAGGGGTTTCAGTACAAATTAACGATCCATCAGCGCGGAATAATTTACAGCCTTCATCTGCTGTGCAACAGTTGACACATACTTCAGTAATTTTCTCATCTCCTGAAGAGGGGCAAGTCATGTAAGCAACTTCATTGTGACAAACCTGGAGACACATCTTCTGAGCATTTCCATATTCCACCTCAATTCCCAACAGAAATATACCTATGAAAAACACACAAATATTTGATCAACACAATAAGCAAGGTATCATATTACATTTTTTTAGCTTGAAAGTTTGATGTGCAACAGAATACAGTTAGACCTTTCTATAACAATCATCCTCTAACCAAGGTTTTTTTCATGTTGGATGGCCACGTCATCAATTGTATTATATTAAAATATATGCAGCTTGTGTATGTGGAGGGTTGTAATTAGTTGCTACCAAAATTTAACAATAGGGTAAAGGTGACCTATTTTGCTAAATTTTTCTTTGTATATCATAGGTTTTTTATAACAATATTTTGCATCAATAAATATCAAGACAACAAACGTAACGTCATTGATTATAAAGAGATTTTATTATATATAAAAAAAGCCTTACCAGACAATAGGAGGAGAGAAAGGATACCAACTTTGTAAAAGGCCATTGTATATTTCTTTGAATTTGCTTGCTTTAATTTGAGGATGTTATAATCTCTTAAGCTATTTATAGAGCAAATAAAAGATATTAAAATACAACTAGGAATAACTTTTATCATATCATAATGGACCAAATTGTGTTTTGTCAAAGTTAACTCAAATGCAGCCTTCACATTGGAGTGTATATATGACCCAGCCAACTGTTTGAATATTTGGTATACCTTTGAAAAAAAATCTTATGCTTATCCCAAAGATTAATCCCATTCCCATCTGAATCAGATCCAAATTATTATTATAAAATAAAAAAATCTTATTTTATCCAAAAAAGTCTTATGTTTTTTCTATGTAGTAATTGGTATAAAAAATAATTTTACAACTTTACTAATACAAATAGGGAAAATGTATAAGTACCCCCAGCCTATGCCCGAAATCCCAGACACACACCTAACCTTTACTAAGGTCCTATTACCCCCCTGAACTTATTTTATATATAATTTTCTACCCCTTTTTGGCCTACGTGGCACTATCATTGAAAAAATAGTCAACACACGTTGGGCCCACAAGATAGTGCCACGTAGGCCAAAAAGGGGTAGAAAATTATATATATAATAAGTTCCGGGGGGGGGGGGGGGGCTAATAGGGCCTTAGTAAAGGTTAGGTGTGTCTTTGAGATTTTGGACATAGGCTGGGGGGTACTTATGCATTTTCCCAATACAAATATAAAGTTCAGGAATGTTTGATTACTGTTAATTCACAATATAGTCACAAATTTCGTTCTACACAATGTTACGACGAACTTAATCCTTCTCCTTGTTGAAAAAAAGAAGGAGAAGGTGTTAGTGTTATAGTGTTTCAAGCTATATTGATAGTATTTCTTTTGGTTCATTTGTATATTCTGGATTTTTTCATATTTTCGCTTCAAGTCTGTGCCTTTATCTTAATTTTTATTTTTCTCTCTTTTAAATTTGTCGGGTTCTTGATTTTGCACTAAAATAGGTTCTTGATTATGCTTTGCCCTTTTAAAAAAAATATGTGATTGATTGAGTAGGTGATAAGAAATTGTATCATTTTTAGATAAAGATTTAGGATTGAAAACAAAGCTAACATTTGTATATTTTTCTATAACTAAATTTACTGTTTGTATTGAAACCTTTGTTAAATCTATATGATGTTTACTCCAGGAAGAACATATTCTGTGACTATATTTGTTGAGAGAAAATATCTATTCAAATCATAGTATTTATATATGATGGTGAAAAGAAAACATGATGGGCATATCTTGACAAATTGTTAATTCTTAGTACTTCACTCTCAAATTATAAAAAAAATCATTTTTAAATCAGTACCATCAAACTCAAAACACATTGATATCTTTGCTATGTCCATCTAGTCAATTGCCTACTAACACTTCAAAAACCAAAGGTCTCCACAAAATTTCGTTAAACGCTTGGAGAAACTACTTAAAATCTGTCAATTATGTCTCAATTCCCAAACTAGTAATTAGGATTAAAAAAAAGAATAAAGACATAAAGTGACACCTGAAGTTGTCTCGAATTTTCAAAAAGATACCTTAACTTTGCGGGTGTTCTATTATCCCACAAAACATTTCAGAATCACAATAAATACACACTTTTTACACAATCTGCATTCTCACGGCTTGAGCGTGAATCTCACCCCAATTAATAATATAATTACATACTCTCTCTGTCCCTAATTACTTGTCCACTTTTGAAATGACACACATATTAAGAAAACAATTAATGACATAGTGAGTTTACCATTTTATTCCTATTAATTATGAAGTGGATGAAAAGTTCTACATTTTTCAAAGTAATTAGTCATTTAATTGATGGTATAATGGGTAAAAAAAAATTGTCCTTTCTTGATTTGTCAAAATGGACAAGTAATTAGGGACAACGGGAGTATTTTTCCCAATCTATTTAGTAAAAATTGAACAAAATCTTGACCCATTCACATTTTAATCATGACCCGCACCTTTTAACCCTAAACCCTTTTTAGATTTTCACTCCACTCTCTCTCTCTTTGATGATCAAAATCCTAAAGCATTTCAATAGTCATAATAAATTTATTTTGCGGAGATAATTTCTTGAATTATGGAGTCAAAATGAAGAAGTGAAGGCTCACATGTTAATTGTTTCTTGATTTGAATGCAAATTTTGGTTTAAAATTCTTTTTATATAGTAGTGATTTTTTGTAAAATCATCTTTATAGTGATTTGTTGTTATTTTCTTCTTGTGTTATCTATTATTCATGTGTGTGTAGTGTTAGTTTAGGACTGATTTGAGTTTGAATGTTTCTTCACTGATTTAGTTTTGAAATTTGTTTGCAATTGCACTTTCAAGATTTACAAATTAGTTGATTTCATAACTTTTAAATAAAATAAAAGGAAGAAATTGAAGCTAGTAAAGCTAGATGATAATTTCATTGAGGATGGGGATTTTTTTTTTTGGTTGTAGATGGAAAGCTCTTTAACATCTATCAATGGAGGTTTTGGAGAAGATGGAAAGTGGGTCTTTTAATATTCAAATTGTCAATGCCACATGGCATTTTTACATTGGTTTGGGGGTGTATTTTTACTCCTCCACACGCCTATCAAATGTGATAAAATAACTATTGTGAAAATGGGTCAAAAATGTTTATTTATTGTGATTTGAAATAGTTTCATGGAGTAATAGGACGCCCGCAAACTTTAGGTGTCTTTTGAAAATTCAGGACAACTTCAAGTGTCATTTTATGTCGTTTCTCTTTAAAAAAAATATGTGTTAGAGTTCCATGTTGGTTAGGGAATGGACTAATTGTCTTCTTATATGTACTTGAGCAATCCTCCCTTCTTAACTAGATTTTAGGATTGAGTTAAACCTAGATGACATATCTTTACATGCTATCACATACATATTCATCCTAGTTTAGACTCTTAGTATATACTCTAGTTGGGCCTGAGCATGAATGGGGTGTTAGAGTCCATGTTGGTTGGAGAATGAAATGAACTAGCTTCTGAGATTGAGTTAAGTTCAGATGTCATATTTTTAATTACAATATGAAAACTCTATAATTCCCCACCTACACTAAATCCAAGCAAGTGGTCTCATAGTTTGGTATGAGAATCATGAAGTCTCGTATTCAAATCTAACATGTGAGGTTATTTCTTGGTATCTACCGAAGCCTTACTGGCCAAGAAAATAGAAAACTACCTACACCATGTCGTTCCCCATGCTAGGGTTTCCTATAACATGTCGTTCCCCATGCTAGGGTTTCGAAAGAGGATGAAAGAGAGTAAATTCAACTCTAAACTTAACGAAAAATAACTCCAGAAGAGCATGGCCCCAATTGAGACGTTAATTATCGATGGTAAAGTAAATAAATTTTATGTAATAGACATGCTATGCAATGATTTATTAAGTGCAACATGGATAACTTTTTTTCCAATTAATCTCTATTCATGATCACTTCAACAATTAGATAGAGAAACCCAAGATTTAATACTCATAGAGAAAGTGCAATATGAAAACTCAATAAAACCTTACCTAGACTGAATCCAAGCAAGTGGCCTTGTGGTCTGGTATGAGAATCATGAAGTCACATATTCAAATCGATCATGAAATTGGAACACCGCACTTATCATCGGTTTCAACCATCGATCAAATTGCATAAACATGAAGGAATAGATGGGAAAGTAGGTTTATTTATAGACGGGATCATGTGATTTAGGAGTACTTTCTACTTCTATTCTCGTGAGTCGAGACCACCTCAATTTTTGGAAGTTGATTTTTAGACCCGCTGGAATTTCGAGGGAAGTTTGGAACAATAGACCTTTTTGGACTAATCTTTTAACTTATTTTTGTTATTTTAATCTAAAAATAAATGTGTAAAAATAGTTTATATATACTTAATAATGAAAATAAAATAAATTGCATTGACCAAATTTCTTTAATTTAGATCTTTTCTAAAAAACTAATCTATGATTCTAGGAGAAGACAAAAGAAAAATTATAAAATAAATTATAATATAGTAAGAAATTCAATTCAAGTGACCAGATTAATTTTATTTCCTAAAAGAGAGAATCTTAGATCCACTTATGTGGTGCCCTCACTGATCAGGATTCTTATTTTACCCTTAAAAGTCACAATCTTACCGAAAAGTCAGAACTTTTCATAAAAGTCAGAACTTTTCATAAAAGTCGAAACTTTTTAGAAAAATCAGAACTCTTCATAAAAGTCACAATTTTTCATAAAAGTTATGACTCATTACAAAAGTCACAATTTTTCACAAAAGTCACAACTTATCATTTTCCATTCACACCTTTTAAAATTCAACGCTTAATTGCAAGGCACCAAAAGAAGAAAGAATAAACAAAGAAAATTGATTTCAATTGCAATGTAACATTACTACTCTTGCGCCTCTTAATCCACAACTCATAACGCTGATGTAATGGTTGAATTTATAACATTTGGTTCGTTAGTAAGCAAAACTTCTACATTGCCACCATTATTTGTAGGTTTTTTTCTGTCATAAGGGAGTCGGATTTAAATACATTAATTAAGCTTCTTATGAAGTGTGTTTCATTCCTCAAAGTTTTCTTCATCCTATTTCATGAAACTTAATCTTTTACTGCAAGTCATAGTGATTCATGTAAGTATTGCAATTTCTTTTTGCTATTTTAGTGACTTTTTTTTAACTCTATTAAAAATCCCAACAAGGATGATTGAAAATTGATCTTCTCTTTTGTCCTTTTCAACAGGCTTCTTCATATATATTTTGGTTAGTAAACAATACTTCTATTTCTGCCAATAATATTTGTAGGGTTTTTTCTGTTATAAGGAAGTCGAATTAAAATACACTAATTAAGCTTCTTATAAAGTGTGTTTCATTCCTCAAAATTTTCTTCCTCCTATTTCATGAAACTTAACCTTTTACTACAAGTCATAGTCATTCATGTAACTATTGCAATTTCTTTTTGCTATTTTGGTGACTTTTTTTAACTCTGTTAAAAATTCTGGAAAGGA